TGTGATTTTTGGTCACTGGTGCTAACATGTCCTTGGTTTGACGAAATTAGTTTCATTCCCCACTGTCTTGGAGATGTAGTTCTGGTTCTTCAACATCTGCTCCTTTAGCTTATCTTTATTGGTTGAAGATATTGAATCAGAGATTGAATCCATCAGTTGTGTCCATTCCAGTATTTTGAGTGAAACGCTGGCAGATCAGTCCCTCAGCCTGCAAACTTCTTTGTCCTGCCATGGTGAAGGAGATCCATTCAGCTGAACTGGATCTGCACTGAGCAGCACCATCTCATACACAGACTTCTGAAGAGTCACAGAGAAATTTGCTGCTATTCTAATCCATGAGCACATCACTTCATCTGGAAAAACTTCAATCCTTTTTTCCTAGGCTGCTTCTAGCTCTGCAGTGATTTAGTGCAGGCCCAGAGTGGCCCATCTGTGTTTGCCAACAGGGACTCACGTGTCTGTTTTGTTCCTGCTGGGCTGTCAGCAGCGTGTAACCAAAGAGATTTCCCATACTGAGACCGTACTGCTGAGTGATCGTTTACAGTTGTTTCCTTGAGTCTTGAGGGGGTTAATTTTGTCCCCATGTCACTCCATACCTGGATGCTTCCTGCGCAGTACATTCTGCACTCTCGCTTCAAAGTCAGATGTGACATGATCTGCTTATCTCTGGGTCCTCCACATTGTCCATGGTGTCTCCCCAGGCAGATTTATGTCGGCATCTGGCAGCCACAGGAGTTCCCTTCGGTGCTTCAGATGTTCCTTCTGACCTTTGGAATGCTGTACACAAAGCTGAAAGTGGCTCTCGCTTCCATGAATCGCCTGATCTCCTCCATGAGAGTCATAATTATATATTAACGATTTAGTAAATTACTGCCCTTCTATATTTTAATGTCTATATTTAGTGTTTGTTAAGGTCAAGGCTCATTATCTCTGCAATATTATTACATCGTGGCATAGGAGTGTGTGGTCATTTATAGATTTTTGAAATCTACTGTATGACAATTGGCACCACCCTCCCTGTAGGCTCCCCAGGACTCCTGGGGTGCTGGGTTCCTGCCAGACCAGCACTTCGGAAAAAGCAAAAATTACAAGTCTTTTAAAACCTAACTTATTTCATGCATTTTTATAAACTAGCAAAGGTGGGTTTTATTTAATTGTGACCATCACCATATAACACATTTGAAGTTGTTATGCATTGGGTACACGTTACTCTTGTAAAACAGCCAGGACACGCAGCTTACCCAGTTTTTACATTCCATTTATTTTTACGGTGTAGGAGTGCCCTAGGGAACACTTCTGACTGGAGGAGAACGAGGGAACGTGGTTTGCTGGGGTTGCTCAGCCTCAGAGGATAATTGTGTGAAGCCACAAGGATTTACCCCGTGCCAGGTGAGCCAAAGGCAGCGGAGCATCCCTTGGTCACTGCCCTGTGTGACGCCATGGGCTCTGGGCTCCTCCTGGCTCAGTAGCACTTGTAGTTGAAGAAGTGAAAATCAGTAACATTCTCTTCCCAGTTTTATATAGAGAAGCAGAAAATATCTGACATTTTTGATCTACTCAGTTCAATACAAAACATTTAAAAGGAAACAAATCTCAGAGACAGAATCCATGCAGATGCAGGAATGTGCAGACCATGAACTCTAATGCCGTATTGAACACAACCAGAGCTACAGCTACAGATCGTGAGTTTCACCACCAACGACCTTGCACTGAATGCTGCTGTGCTTAGCAACAAGGGAAAAACATCCTTCAGGAGAGGGAGAACAGGAATCATTCTGCCCTGGCCAGACCTCACTCCTGCATACACCACACTCCAGCCCCCCTGTATTCCATCATGAAGAGCCTGTAGAATGGACTCTGCTTCTGCTTCCTTCTGTTGTATGGATTCCCAGGCTCATGCTGGTGGATACGTTCATAGAACCATCAAATGGTTTGGGTTGGAAGGGACATTAAAGCTCGTCTCGTTCCACCCTCTGCCATGGGCCTGGACACCTTCCATTAGACCAGGTTGCTCCAAGCCCCATCCAACGTGACCTGGACACTTCAAGGGATGGGGCAGCCACAGCTTCTCTGGGCAACCTGAGCCAAGGCTTCATTACCCTCCCAAGAAGAGTAAAATTTGGTGTAGTAATCTTAAAATTGAGTCATTTTGGATCAAAGATGACATTAAGATATGGAACTATTCATTAGAGAAGGAATGTCCAACCCATAACTGCGCAAACCCAGCTGTAATTAAGCATCTTAGCGGGTGTTTATAAACAGATGTTCTCATCTAAATGTCTTAGAAACAAACAGCTTTGTTATACCAGTTCCCCCAAACCACAGAAAGCGACGTGACGCTGGCAATGACCAGAGTTACAGCTCTCCTCTGCAGGCTGGTGTTCTCCCACACGTACCCTCATATCTGAGCTGACCTAATTTCAGGGGTAGGATGGGTCCCTAAATGCAAGACAGTTTCTGCAGTAGAATATTCACAGACCAACAGAGTGAATTTTCCAGGTGTATTCCCAGGAGCACATTAGTATTTTGTGCTTCGAGACGCATCCTTGCCTTTATTTAACACCCAGGGCCTCTGCAACATCCCCATGCTGGTGACCGAGGTTTCACAGTATCTGAACATTGACTTCTGCTATTCCAGTTCCCTTGTATGGGAAGAAGTGTTTCCTGAGAGCTGTAAATCCATTGCATCATTCAAAATGTACCACAAGACAGTTTTGAGGGTTATTTTAAAAACATCTTTCAAAAATATATTAGAATAAAGAGACAGCAGAGGAAGAGCTACAATTTTTAGAACCATTTTTAATATTTTTTTTTGGAAAAGAATAATATTAAGCTAACATTGCATGCATGTGTTTTGCATTTGAAAAGTTAAACAGCATCTTCCAAAAGTCAATGTGGCCTGGGAAAAAACTTAAAACTTAAAAAAAAAAAAAAATGAGGGCAGATAATTGTACTGTAAAATCCATTCTTCTTATAGAAGAATCCCAAAGTCTGCATTTAAACGACTGATAAGACAAAACCATCTTTCACTGACAGAACCTGTACTGTGTAATTTATGGGGTGCCACAATACCCATTTTTAGGCACCCACTGCTGGGCAGCACAGTCCCAGTGCCAGCATTACCAAGTCACTATCTCTAAGCTCAATTTATGGTCCCAAATTAGAACGACAGATCTTCACAGATGGACAATTGTCCATTTCTCTTTCCCTGTCACCAGAGTTTCTTCCAAAGCCAAGACGATGCCTGTTCTACATTGACAAGACAACCTCTTCCCCCCTCTCTCTTTCTTCTCTAAGGCAGCAGGATATTTTACTTTGCTGTTTTACTTCATTGACATTTTTAACTCTTGGTCGGCTACTGTATTGACAACTTCATGTCTTTTCTTGCCCAGCACATGTCCCTCGGGAGCAGTGGGTGGAAACGGCTGTCCCTGGAGTGGGCAGACCCAGACACTGGGGATGTCCCACCACCCCAGCACTTTGTTCTTCAGGTGTTTGCAGTGCACACCCAACATTAGGCCAGTGCACTACACATCTGCTTTTTTATTTTATTTGAAAAAATGTCAGAATTTGTTCGCCTCTCAGTGAAATGCTGCCATAATTCATGATGTTCACCCATTTGTCTTAATACAAACACCCGTATGTCCAGTGCTTACCAGGGGACAAACAAATGCTTCTCCCTGCCCTACAGAGTCTCAGTCCCTCAGCTTTTTTGTGGGGAGATTTTTGTCTCTTTTCATGGATTTGCCCCAAAACACTCATGCAAGCAGACACCTGCCTCCAGAGCTGCCCAAAAGCCCTGAGGTGCCTTCTCCATGGCTTTGTGCCCCTTTCCAGTGCAGACCCCCACACCTGGAACATGGGGTTCGCTAGACCAGAACCCGGTGAAGTGGAAGGTGTCCCTGTCCATGGCAGGATGTTGGAACAGGATCTTTAAGGTCCCTTCCAACCCAAACCACTCTGGGATTCTATGAATTCCACTGGGGGCCGAGGCGCTGCGCTGGGAAGTGGGAGGCCTGTGAGGCCTCATCCATCCATTGTGGTGGGGACAGCTGGGGAAGCAAAACAGGAAAGAATCACAGAACAGTTGGGGTTGGAAGGGACCTCAGGAGATCATCCAGTCTAACTCCCCTGCCCCTGGAACAGGTGGCACAGGAACCTGTGCAAATGGGTTTGGAATGTCTCCAGGGAGAGAGACTCCACATCGTCCCTGGGCACTTGTTCAGTGCTTTGCCACCTTCCATGGAAAGAAGTTCTCCCTCATGTTGAGGCAGAACTTCTTTTGTTTTAGTTGGTAGCCATTGCTCCTCGTTCTGTCACTGGGCATGACCAAAGAGAGTCTGGCACCCTCCTCTGACACCCGTTTATGATATTTTTATGGATTGATGAGTTAGATCACCTCTCAGTCTTGTCTTGTCTTGTTCAGACTAACCAGGTCCACCTTCACAGTCTCTCCTCATAAGAGAGATGCTCTAGACCACTCATCATCTTTGAGGCTTCTGCTCCTTGTCTGTCTTGTGCTGAGGAGCCCAGAACTGGACGCAGCATTCCAGATGTGGCCGAGCAGAGGGGGAGCATCGCCCCCCTGACCTGCTGGCCACACTCTTCCAGCAGGCGCTCCGTGGGGCGCGGGTGCAGCCGGGCCCGGGGGGGCTCGGGCAGGGGGGAGCCGGGCGTGCGGGGCCGCGGGCTGCACTTTCGCTCCTCGGCCAACAGGTCGCACCGTTCCCCCTCGGCTGGGGCGGGCGGGCGCTGCCCCGCGGAGACGATCGAGGAGCGGCGGCGGGCAGAGCCGAGCCCGGCTGAGCCCAGCCGTGCTGAGCCGAGTCGAGCCCAGCCGTGCTGAGCCCAGCCCCGCCGAGCCCCGCCGTGCGGCGGTGGCCGCCCCTCTAGCAGCCGGCTGTCTCCACTCCCTCTGCACGTCGGGGAGGCGGAGGGAGGGAGGGAGGGAGGGAGGGAGGAGGGGAAGAGGAGGAGGTGGCCGCCGCCGTCGTCCTCCATTTTGTGGCGGGGGCAGAACCGCCGAGTGCGGCGCTGCCCGCGGAGGGACGGGGCGGGGAGCGCGGGGGGGGTGTGAGGTCCGCGGAGGCAATTAGCGCTAATTAACGGAGGGGGCGCCGCGGCGGCGGGCGGGGTCGGGTCAGGGTCTGAGGCCGGCGGGAGGAGCAGCAGCAGCGGCAGGAGCAGGAGCAGGAGCAGCGGGGGGAGCGGTGCTGTCGCCGCCGCGGCCCCCGGAGGGGCGGCTATTGACCCCCCCCACACCCAACTGGCTGCCGCCCCCCGCCACGGGTGCGATGGCTGTGGGCGGCTGAAGGAGCCCCAGCGCCCTCCCCCGGACGAGGTAAGGGCGGTGAGGGTCCTGCGGGGGGCTGCGCTTCCCCCTCGGGAACTTCCCCAGGAGGAGGCGAAGGGGGGGGGGGTGGCGGCGGAGGCGCCCCCGCAGGAATGCCCGGGGCGGGGGGAGCCGAGCCGAGCCGCCCCCGGGAGGATCCCGGGGCGGGACGGGAGCGGGGGCCGGCGGCGGGGAGTGGGGACCCCTGGCCCTTGGCCCCGGCGTGTGCCCGTGGGGAGCGGGGGGCGCGGAGGGGGAGAGGGAGCCGAGACCCGAGCTGGGCTGGTTTTGCAGAAGTGGGTGTGCCAGGAGACGGCTCAACAGGTCCCGACACATTTCTCTGAAAACTGTACTTTGTAAAGGCGATTTTATTGCAATCCGGTGGTTTTAAGTGTTTGCAGCGTTTTCCTCCTTTGGGCAGATTCTAGCAGCTGGTTTTTGACACGTTTCCTGCGCTTCATGGTTCCCTGCCTGGGGGATTTTTTTGACGTTGGGGGAATAGTCAGATGGAATAACTATATTTTTCCTCCCCTTCCTGTAAAAAAAAGAAAAAAAAAGAAGAAAAATAAAGAAATAGGCAAAGCTGGAGGTAGTTAATTACATTTTTCGAATCGCTGCTGCGACGTCCACCTTAAACAGCCGAGCAGTTTGGGGGTGCCCCGTTCCCGTCGGTGTCCCGGCTCCCTGGACACGACCAGGAGACCCATGGCCCCGGGAACCGGGGCACGACACGGACGGGACCCCCATCCCGGCACCCGACAGGGCCGCGGGAGGTGCTGCCGAAGGCCCACGAAGGGTTTTGGCGTTGAGCCTCCCCCGCTCGGGACGATTTCCCCAAACCAGAGCTCGCCGGGGCCACCTTAAAATTTTACACGTGGGGCCTTTTTGTTGATCGAGCCTTAACTCTGGCACACAGAAATAGCAGCGGTGTCGGGGGCTGGGGAAAATGGGCGGCAGAGCCGCGGGTTTATGATTAAGAACGACTGCAAACTTGTGAGTTGGGTCCGTGCGCTCAGGGCGTGCAGCCGTGGCCAGGCTGGAACTGGGGCATTGCCCCTCCGCCGGCTGGGACTGGGCGGTGCGGGCTGAGCGCTGAGAGTGAGGCCGTACACAAACTGTATAGGAAGTTTGCCGGAGAATTTACAGTGCTTCTCCAAATATTTATGCTCTCTGCTGGAAGAAAACGTAGTAAATACAAACAGACGAAACTCGGGAGATTTGTTTTCGGTGTGTTTGTTGGAGAGCCGCCGTGAGCGGGTAAAGTGCTGGAAGCTAACGAAAAAAATCCGGCTTTATTTTGAACTAGCTTTTATTTATAAATTGGAGATGTATTTAAAGAATTGTGCACGGTTTATTTCGAGATTAGTGAGTTGCATTTTAAGCTGAACCCGTGCGAAGATGGCAAAGGCTGTTCTGTGGTGGGAAGGTTCTGTGACTCTTGGAGGGTAACAAACCACGGAGGTTCTGTCTGTCTGGCTCCGGAGGCTCCGTACTGCTGTGAGTGGGGGACCTGCAGGCAGTGAGGGAGCTGACTGGGAAAGGTAATAAATGTGCTTCTCCCAAGCTCAAGGTGTAATTAAATACCAGGAAAATTTACCTTGCAAAATTTGTAAACCAGGTCCTTTAACAATCCTTACGCTTCCTTTGAGCAGGGATGGGTGACAGAGCTGGAGAGTGCGTGCAGAGGGGTGTCATGTGCTGTAGCCTGATTTTGAGTTGTGTGCAGATTTCGCAAAGCTTTAAAATATATGCATCCTCCTGACCAGACAGAAAAAAAAATTCAAAACCCCTGAAAACAAGCACCTGTGTTTGAGGGACGCGGCACGTGTCAGCTCATAGCGTAGTCTGCCCTGCCTTCGTTCTCAGAGCAGTTGAACTAGGCTCACCAGGCGAAGGATTTAGAGTTTATATTTTTAAGCTGTTATTAATGTGTCCTTGCTGTGCTAACTTTGACTCCTTCTGATCTTTTTATAGTTAATGGTAAAGTAATGGATTCCAAAGAATTGCTTAACACGTCGGATCAAGACGAAACAAGGAAAAATGCTCTCATCAGTACCAAAGGAGGGATCGTGATGGACTTCCATCCACCCTTCAGGGGTGGAGCTACTGTCCAAGCCCCTGTGTCTACATCTCCTCTCCCTGCGTCTTCTCAGTCAGATTCCAGTCAGCAACCTGCTTTGGCTGACTTCTCGAAAGGATTAGGAAACAATGTGCCTCAGCCAGACCTTTCCAAGGCAGTGTCGCTCTCGATGGGACTGTACATGGGTGAAACAGACACAAAAGTGATGGGAAACGACCTTGGATTTTCGCACCAGGGCCAAATCGGCATCTCTTCTGGAGAAACGGACTTCAGGCTCTTGGAGGAAAGTATTGCAAGCTTGAACAAGTCCTCGAGCCTGGCCGAGGACGCAAAGGGAGCCGTGTCTTCTGAGGTGCCGCTCGAGCCGGATTTCCCAGGCATGGCCGGCCGCAACGCCCCTTTAGAGACGGGAACTGCAGTCCAAAGCCAGGTTGGCTCAAATGGTGGCAACTTGAAGTTGTTTTCTGAAGACCAAAGCACCCTGGATATTCTCCAGGATTTAGAATTGCCACCAGTATCACCTGGCAAGGAGCCCAACGGGAGCCCGTGGCGGCTGGACCCGTTGCTCGATGATGGTGGTTTGCTGTCCCCCATATCTGCAGATGATGCCTTTCTCCTGGAAGGAAATCTCGGCGAAGACTGCAAACCTCCCATTATATCTGACACTAAACCCAAAATTAATGACCATGGTGACCTTTTACCCAGTTCCAAAATGCCAATGCCTCAAGTGAAAACAGAAAAGGAAGACTTCATTGAACTCTGTACTCCTGGCATCAAGCAGGAAAACATGGGCCCACTTTACTGCCAGGCCAACTTCTCTGGGTCAAACCTGCTGGGTACGAAAGTCTCTGCCATCTCCATCCACGGTGTCAGCACCTCTGGGGGACAGATGTACCACTATGACTTAAATACTGCATCACTTTCTCAGCAGCAGGATCAAAAACCAATTTTTAATATCATTCCATCTCTTCCTGCCGGGTCAGAAAATTGGAATAGGTGCCAGGGATCAGGGGACGAGGCGTTGGCTCCTCTGGGAACACTCAACCTTTCTGGCAGACCTGCTTTCTCTAATGGCTATTCAAGGTAATTAGTTTTTGTTGCTATTTATTAAAATGCTCCAAGTGTGTTTAGCACAACCCTGTGCATGCTGGTTTGTTGCTTGGGTTCTTTCCATTTTTTTCCTTTTTTATTTGGTACATGTGGCTGATCAGACTTCTCTGGGGGGTATTTATTTATTGCCACAGTACGACAGCAGCTTTAACCAACTACTCAACTATTGGTATTAAAGGGATAAAGAGAGGAGGGGAGCTGGCATGCTTTAAAAAGTAAATAAACAAAAATAAAACTTTCAGGATACTGCCTAAAGGGAAAATTGAATACGTGGTAGCAGGATCCATATGCAGACAGTATGGAAGGAAGTATTTAAGTGTATACAAAAGCTGCTTCGTTCCCAAGGGTTAGAGGATCAATCACTGTGGGCTTTTTTTTCTTTCCTAGTGTTACTTAAATGTTATGCACAAAAATAACTTGGTTGCCGGGTAAATTTCTAGAATTACATTTTGAGCTGAACTCGAGTTTTCGTTGTGCTCAGTATCACATTTACCTTACATGGACAAGAAGATTCCGAGTGGGAAATACTCGGGGACTTGTTCAATAATGGCGTTTAAAGAGATAAGAGTATTTGCAGTCAGATTTAAACTCTAGAGTAGAATGGTAGAAGGGCTGCTGGGAGTGGGATTTGGGAGCAGGATGGATTAGGGGAGCTGATTAGTAGTACCTGTCGCAAGTGCCTTGTATTTTCTGCAAGTAATCCAGAGGTGCAGATTTTGGAACACTCCTTGAGGAGTGAACGTGGCCGTGGCAGCTCAGTGGGCAGCTGTGGTGTCTCCGTTCTGATTCCAGTGGGAACACCCAGTTGTTTGTTTTGAGGATCGATACCCAGTTGCAAGTTTTCCTTAGGATTTCTGTGTGAGCTCCTAGTTGTAAATTTTCAGTATGAATACCCAGTTGTAGGTTTTCCTCATCTGTCCTGTGTTTGAACAACTGCTTGAAAGAGCAATGTTTGGCCTCCGTGGAGGCAGAGGATTTTGCTTTGGAGTCTGTTAGAAAATGGCTCTACAAGTCCCTATACATAAACCCAGTATTTGTAGGCTTTTAATGAAGTATCTGGTTTAACCTTCTGGGTTTTATTGCCCTGCTGGCAATCGATCCCCAGGGTGTTCCCTGCCAGTCCCAGGGCTCTCCCTGCACGATATTTGCTCCCTTTTCCCATAGTTGGAATGAAGTGGATGAGGATTTCTTCTTTGTTTCAGGAGGACAACTTTTAGCTTGGTTTCGCTCTTGATTTTTTTCGTAGATTTTAATTTTTGTCATCATTACGTGCTTTTTTTTTTTCTTCCTTCTTCAAAGTGTTTAAAACAATTTGTAGTGTAAGAGGTCCAGAAAAGAAAATCAAAATTAGTGGATAGATTTCACCTTGATATATGAATATTGAGCATGCCTCATTATTTATTTTGAGAGAGTAGAAATCCTTTCTGCTCATGTTTTGTATCATCAGTGCAGTTCTGTGTTTAGTTTGTTTCATAGGGATTTTTTGGTGGATTTTTTCCCCTGCTCTCGCTGTATCTTTAATGACAATCATAAACTCTGTGTCAAAGTAAGAAGTATTTCTGCATTGGGGAGGAGGACACGAGGGACTGTTTAACGAAGCAGATTCCCTGGAGATAATGGAAATGTCAGTTTGGGGAACAATTCTGGGAGCTGCTGCATTGGTTGTGTTTTGCAGAGCTGTGTAGGCAGAGCCCAGCACACACAGATGTTTGTCCGGCTTTGGGGAATTTCAGACACCAGTATTCTATCCTGTGCGTGTGATCCCAGAGGGATGAAGATCCCACTCAGGCTGTGAATGTGGGCAGAGCTGATCCTGCAGGGAAAGGGCCATCAGTGGGAGATGTTACCAGTGCTCTGTGGAGCAATTTTGGGAGGGTGTTTGTGTTGGCAGGGGCAGGCAGCGATGGACAGGAGTGTGGGGATGGCCGGCAGAGTCTGGAGGAGCTCCCGGGACAGCCCAGGGAACGTCTTGGGAATGTCCCGGCAGCACCGGCACCAGCTGCCTCCACCACTGCCGGGTGTTATCCACGCTGGGCCTCAAGTGTTGACGTTCTTGCTTCCTGCAAGGTCGTCTTATATTTTATTGCTTCCTTTTTGCTGTAAGATAATGGATTTTATTTTTTTTTTTCTTTATGGAATGTGTAATGAATTTTGAGGTGGCTTCTAGTTGAGTTTTCGATAAAAATTCATTATTCTCAGCTTTATGGAAGCTGTTCTTCCTTCCCGAGGATTTTTATACACTAAAACTGCGAAGTCCAGTGCTAAAAACAGCATTGTTTGGGTTTGCTTTATTATTTTTATTTCATAACATTCAGGCAGCTCCATCATCTTTTTACAATGTTTGGGATACTAATGAACCACGGGTTTGATGCAGGAATTCTCATTCTTCCTGAACTTTGTCAGAAATATTTGGCCTAAACTAGGTTAGTTTAAGGTGATGTATTGTGGGTTTGTTTGTTTTTCTTGCAGAAGACTTAACAAAATTGGCATTTGTTTTAGAAACAAAGGAAGGGCTCTCTTGCCAGGTTCCCGTGGTCTGTTTTTTTTTTTTTTTAGGTACTAATTGTGAGAGGTGGAGGCCAGAATTTTGAGAAGCTTAGGTTCCAATAGGAAATATTTCTTAGTGTTGGTAGAATTATTTGGCTATTAGTAACATAATAATTACAGACTGAACATATGGGAAGAAAAGCTGCAGTTCATTCCTGGTGTTCAGGTTGTATTTAATCTGACTGTTTAATGGGAAGCTTGGAATGTTTCTTTATATCCACACAGGCTGGAATTGATGTCATGCCATTTTTGAGTGGTTTTGCTTCTAAGGATAGCACAGCATGCTGGCTTTAATGAGACAAGTGATAATCAGGCCTGAGAAAACTAATCAATTTTAGTGAGCAGCAGGAGGGATTCTCAAGTTAACAAGCAGAATGCAAACTTCAGGAATTTGATTAATGGGAATGAATTGGCAATGATCAATAAATAGCTGTCTGTGGAATTGTCAGCCAGTGCTTGTGCTGATGCGCAAATTTTGATGCTAAAACACTGAGCTGCAGCTCCTCAAACTCCAGATCTTGAGCAGCAGTGAGACTCTGGCTGGCAGGAGGGCTTCGTCTGGGCTCACTTTGGGGTCTCCAAGCGGAGTGAACACAAAAGGTGGATAGAATAAAAGGGAGGAAAAAAGTAGGCTAATGGAGGGAGTTTGCCTTAGATTTTCTTTAATGGCAGCGAGACAGCAGCTGGGAGAGGAGTAAATTGCACTGAAAGCATTTGGTAAATGCTTCACTGAAGAACTGGAGGGTTTGCTGGGGTCTGTCTCTGATGGGATGTTGTGATTTATTACAGGTGAAATTCTTCAATCTTAAGGAAATGGTTTTAGCAGCACACGCTCATAGGGCTCTTGTGTGGTATATACATTAAATCCATTGCTCAGCTCCTGTTCCTCTGATTTCCTGGAGATGTGGCTTGTTGCGGAGAGAGTGAAGGACCTGGGGAACCAGCCTAGCAATGCAGAGTTTGCTCTGTGTTCTTGCTCGGAGTCTACAGCCAGAATTCACAGAAACTGGGCCCCACTGGCAGTGTTACGGCTTCTCTTATTACAGTTGAAATCATTCCTAGTACTTAAGCTTGTGGGGGATAAGGATCATTAAGGAAGTTTAAGAAAGGGCAAGAGCTGAGAGAAGCCATTAAAGAGGAGGAGAGTCTGGAAGGGGGAGAAGTTTTGCTGATCGGTCACAGTCCGAAGCCTTGCTTCCAGAAGTAACCTTTCTGCCCTCACTCCTGAACTGAGATTCTTCTTGGACTCAGGTGTTGTACCAGAAGGAAGGGGAAAAAAGGGATTGTTTGACAGCAGTGGTAAAGGTCAGTTGTCCGTTTGTCTTCCCGCTTTGTTGCACTCGGCTCTTGGCCAAGGTTGGTGGCTTGGCAGGGCTGGATGCAGTGCTTTAAGTGCTGCCTGACTCAGCAGTATATAATGTATGGGACATCCGGAATTGGGTCTTTTTTAATAATTCTATTTTGATATGAAACCCAGACATGTTATTTGGAGTGCTCGGGGTTCCAGCAGTCTGTGTTGTGATTTGTCAGCTTAATGTAATACCGTACTTGGGGTTTGAGTCTGGAAGTGCATGGCAAAGAATCTGGTTGTTTTGGCAGAAAGGGGTGAATCAGGAATGTTCTGCAGAATGTGTTCTAAGGTGCTGTGAGAAGGTAGCCAGGTAAACGAGAGGTCATCTAAGATGTAATCTGCTTTTCCCAGTTTTGGCTGATCCTCTCATTGAGCTGGTTGCTGAGTAGTCCAACCCAAATTGTTAAATTATGCTTATTTATTTCCCTTTATAATGATCTCTGTTTTAAACTGAGTTCTACCTTCTAAAACGAGCTGATTTTTGTTCTCCATTGAGCTTTTTTAATCTGTCTTCGTGGTTGAACCTCTTGTACTCTCCTGCTACCAGTGAAGGCAAAGCTGTAGTTAAATGAGCCCTACTCACGAATCTTCTCAGAAATGTGAAATACAGGTGTTACACGACTCCTACATTATATATTTACCATGATGACTTTATTGGTATATTTACCTATATGACTTTTACACTGTGAGAGCAATTTTTCCTTGAGAAGCAAATTTCCCTTCTTTGATTATTGTTGCTGATTTTGGAAATGAACAAGCTGTGCCTCTTCTACATGTATAAGTAACTGCGAAGTGGAATTATTTTTATGATGCAAAAGGTTCCCAAGTCCTTCTGTCTTTGTGGATCCCCTGTTTTTTCGCTGCTGCTCGGCAGAGTACTAAATCTTCTGCTCCCCAGCCTCTTGCTTATGAAGTATTGGATGTGACACAACTCTGTTCATTTTGGGGTAGGTGAATCCTACCTGGGCCACTATCCCACACTGGTATGCTGGTCTAGCTTAACATATATGTTCTGCAGACAGTTCTAAAGGTGTTAGCCTTGAGGTAAACAACGTACCAATAAATCCTGTTTTCA